CTTTTCTGCAGATGTCAAGGAAGTAGAGATACCGGTGCCGTGGGGCCACATTAGAGGTCAGTACAAGGTACCAGGTTACGTCTTGCGTATTCTGATCTCCGTCTGATATCGTAAATTTATATCGGCGTTTCGAGATGGAAAGATAATTTTACTCTATATCACGTTCGTGCAATAGAATCGTAATATTGTCGCGCCCGTGGAGAATGTCGGACACTTGTCATAAATATGTTTTCGCGAAAGTTAACTCGGGGACACCGTAAATTAAAAAGCGTTATAACGACTCTACAAAAATGTCACATAAAATTCAACGTATTGATAAATTTAGGAAATTGGTGGGGACCGGCAGATAAGCAGCCTATAGTGGCGATACACGGCTGGCAGGACAATTCGGGCACTTTTGACGCCTTGGCACAATTATTGCCGAACGTAGCTATACTGAGTATAGATCTGCCTGGTCACGGCCTTTCCTCTCATCTACCAGTCGGACAGTTCAACTATATATTTTGGGATGGGGTTCTCGCGCTGCGTAGAATTGTTAGATATTACAAGTGGAACAAGGTTAGCCAGCGAGTCAATGTTATACAGCGATATGTAAATCTTTTTTTTTTATATAATAAGTATAACGGTGACGTGGGACAAGCAAGAGCATGGGTTTTATATACTTTATTTTGCAGAAGTTAAATGCAATTGCAGCTTAATTTATGGAGTATGTGAAAACTATTTATACTACCAATCACTTAATTTGCATTTTTAATTTGGAATATTTACATTTTGCAGTGGTATTTATATGTATGTACGTTCAACATTGAGATATAACACATTATTAAATTTGCTATTTTATATTCACATTGTGCTTAATACATTGTGATTATTAATAAAATGTTTAAAAAGGCTGACTGTTATATGTATGCGTAATATATTCGATACAAATATTACAACTCTTAAATATTAGCACATTGATTGTTTAAAGGGTCACTTCGACCAAGCTCCGATTAATAACTTAATCAGAGCTTGGTCGAAGTGTGGTCCTAAAGATATTAGATTATGCAAAGTATCGTTGTATAACTGTGTATTATGTGTTACATCAAATCCTCAAAAAATGGACAAGAAAGGCTTTTTAACTCAGCTGTAACTTTGTTGCATTTTTAAGATTATAAAATTCATCTCTTTTCGTTTAACAAATTCAAAATTGCTACAAGTTTATTGGAGCAAGATCCGCGCCTTGATGTCATAAGCTAGAAAAAAAATAATTATGGGACTCTTACCTGCAGGCAAATGGTGGGGCCCTAGTGAGCTCCAACCGATACTGGCATTACACGGGCGCCAAGATAACGCAGGCAGTTTTGACGCGTTAATGCCATTGCTGTCCGATGACGTTTCTGTTCTTTGCTTGGATATGCCGGGGCACGGTTTATCTTCGCACTACCCAAAGAGTCAATTCTATTATGTCTATTGGGACGGTGTCATATTCCTTCGTAGAATTATTAAACATTTCAAATGGAATAAGGTTAGCGAGTGGATAAGTTTACCCGCTCACTGCTTAATTGAGATCAATATTACAATCTTTTGCAACAATATGATACTTATGTGTTTTCTCACAGTCTCATACATATCTAACAGTCATCCTTGTTTGCACTTGAATTGCAATTATATTTATGTTTCCTTCAAGCGTATTGCATGACTTTTTTTTTATAAATATGGGAATTATGTTAATGTGAATGTTTTAACATACATATGTTATTGTGCGTGAATTTTAGAATTTTATGTATATAGAAATAACAAAACAAAAAATAATATTGCACTATCTAATGTACTGTTATACGTTGCATATGTATTAAGTTAAGCTTATTGTAACTCGATTGTATTGTGAAAATAGGTCAGACTTCTTGGACACTCATTGGGTGGTGCTATATCATTTCTGTATGCAGCATCATACCCAGATGAAGTCGATGCTCTTATAAGTTTGGATATTGTCAGTCCGAGCACAATGGATATCAAGAAAACGGCTCCGCTCACCGGAGATTACATTGACAGATTTTTGAAGTACGAAATGTTAACATTGGACAGTGTACCATGTTACGATTACGATGAAATGCTTGAGATAGTAGAACAAGCATATGGTGGTTCTATAACGAAGAAAGGAGCAGAAATATTAATGAAACGTGGTATGCAACAAGCATATAAAAAGGACAAATATTATTTTTCTCGTGATCCAAGACTAAAGGTAAAAAGACTTAATTAACTGTACAGTATATTATTTAGCGAAAAGTGGAACGTAGATTTTATTCTAAGAATAACGTATTTTAATGTTGTTTAAAATTATTTTATTTCCTTTTTAGGTTTCCCTTTTAGGCATGTTGTCTTTAGATTTAGCACTTGAATACGCATCTCAGATAAAATGTGCTTATCTCAACATTCGTGCTGTTCCTGGAATGAAATTCGAACAACCTGAAAATTATCAGAAAGTATTAGACGTCATAAAACTAGGAGCTAGGAAATTCGAATATCATGAGGTGGAAGGGACGCATCACGTACATTTAAATGAGCCTGAAATAATTGCGCCTATAATCACGAATTTTTTACAGAATTTATAGTAATATCGTTTAGTTATTAACGAATGCAGTTACTTAAGATAAGGTTTTGTGATTAGGATGTGTAGATTAACGGGAGATTGTATTTATGTTTGACACGTATACGCTTGCTCTTGAACATGTTTAGTTTCATTAAATTTTGAATAAATAGTTTTATAATTCAAAAACAACTTTATTGAAAATGCATTATGAAATAATGTTAAATTAGTAGCAAATTTAAAAGAATCAATGCACTTATTATAATTTACTGTCATATGTGAAAATAAGGTGCTTTAGTATAACGTTCAGTGCTGTGATGAGCAAAAATTAAGAGATACATATAAAATATAAGATATGTAATTATTGTATGTCTTAAATTACAAATTTTGTCAAACATTGTCTAGTGTCGCTTCTACGTGGTAGTTAATAAATTATTTAATGTTATCTTTTTATGTGATTTATATCATACAGTCTCACAATTATCCTTACATCCTTATATATTAATTATTCAAAGAATAAATTAACACCCATAACTTTTAATATTCAAAAAGATCAATGTTACAGAAAAATTAAAATAACTTTTGTTAAATTATTAAGAAATTTTAAATGTACAAAAGAAAAACATACGATTTTATTACATAATGAGATATGCGATATATAAGTCATAATCAAAGACACATAAGAGTCTTACTTTTTGAGATTTTTGTTTCACTTGTAACATGTAAACACAAAGCTTGTGTTTTTTATTCATAAAGTTTGCTACGAAAAAAAAATGAAATAAAAAACCTAATATAATCGTCTTGGTCTACTTTGGTCACCAAGGTCAGCGAACATTACGCATCGTCCAATGAACACTAGCGGCGGCAATAATGTATTAATGCCTGACAGTTAAGTAATCATCAAATACAACGAACCGGTTCGAACTACAGTCGGACAACCAATAAACATGAGGAAACGCGATATTCTATATCAATCCCATAAAATGTCTTTTAATGGCTTAAAAGCGTGATCCACAACACGCGCTCTAGATAGATAAATTCATAAAACGAGATTATATATTTTTGTGGCATTGCGCGAAGTCGTATAGAAATAATGTAAAATGATTTCGAAAAGTCCATGTAAGAATAATGTATAATATAACGCGAATCGACAAGTGCGGATGTTCGTGTGATATAATATTTCAAGTGTAATACAAGTGTGTACTCGTTATATTCACGATCAAGAAGCGGGTGGTAAATTTCAATCTATATTCAAGTCCTTTTCAATCGAATATTGTATACATATTTAGGTTTAGATTTTTCGATTTATTTAGATTATTTAGATCTTTTTATCTAAAAATTTTTCATTTTGATTTATATGTATAATATTCCTAAGAACAAGTTAATCTTTATTTTATCTTGATTTCGAGAAAAAAATTAATTAATTTAAGTTAATTAAAACGTTAATTTATGAATACATTCCTGAGAGGTGTAGCGCGGGATCTCTGACCAAATTGCGAAAGGAATGGCATATCCTCGAGATAATGAGGCTGTTGATACAGATGTTTGCGGGCATCACAATGGTCAAAGTAAGAAGTCACAGCATTATTCCGTTTACTCAGCTGCTACGGTTGTACGCCACGTATAAATATACAAAATTATACTCCCGAAAACGCATTCGTCACGTTTAATTTCGTGGTGCCTTCCAGTCCTTCTAGATTTTCTTACGACCGACGTGTACAGAACGTTTGCGCGTCGTTCACAATTAACAATATTATAGTATCTTTCAAGTATTTTTCCGAAGGCGCGAAAGGTAAGTGAAGTTACGGGCAAGGACGCGCGACTTCTACGATAATTTGCATAAATTGCGCATTTTGCAAAGTACGAAGAACCATTTCGTGTGACGAGGCCGACGATAAAATTGTAAATCTAATCTCTGCCGGCGAATTCAACGTCGAAAAGTCACGCCTGCGAAATAAAAAATATTCCGCGAAACGTCGGGATTCGCGTCTGCGAGTCGTATGTAAAAAAAAGACAGCTTGAAATAAACGCGAGTTCTCCCCAGCGAATTATTACGGCCCCGAAGCCTTCTTATCGGGCAATTTCTGGATACGTGGCCGTCCTATCGTGAATGCACGTTGTGCACGCCAGTAATTATCGGCGATGATAATGCCGTCGCACATAGAAAATAAATATGAATATGGCACGCGTGAACGCGCAGGTGAACACCGTTCGCCACTTGTCCACGCACCCTCCTTATACGCATCCTTCCGCGCACAATTCCTCGAGGAAGCTCCTGGACCCTGGACGGCGCCGAATAAAAAGAGCCATCGGTCTATCGCATGGTAAGTTCCAACAATCGCTATACGCGCGATTGTCCTCAAAACGCAACATCTTTGCCTTTGTAATTAAGCCTCTTGAGACCTTTGAACGGATAGATTAGAATGGAAATTAGCTTTGTTAAGATTTCAGTCTACGGCTCGTATTTCGCTGGAAAGTAAGAAGTCAACCGCGAGCATATCCGTATTGCAATATATTATACGTTGACGCTGTTCGAGTTACAATGTAATATAATATATGTTACCGTGTGTGGTGATAATTATTTTATGAGCGACGATAATATAGATTTGTGTAAGATATAACAGTCTGTTCTCGACAATTTTCTTTATTTTACACTTAACAAAAATGATAGCCGTTGTTTGCAATAACTCGAATCCGATTGTGGCAAAACCGTACGCGGCAGGGAAGCGCGCAAAAATATTGTGGTCATGTTTCGCACATTTTACGGATCGGTTCTCACGTCGTTCGACACGCGAAGAAGCAGCCACGTCATAAAATAGATCACGCGCCAATCAACCCGATCCATCGATCCCAACGATCAACAAACTTTTCATTTGTAAGTTTGTTCGTTCGGCTCGAGTTATCAGGTTGAAAAGATCACATATGACGTGTAACCGATTACGCGGAAATAAGCTTGTCATGATTCCGCGTCTTGCATATTTCTGGAAAGACGACTTCGATAGGCCGACGAAATCTGCTGCAATTCCGCATCGGTAGGCGTGTAAGAAGCGTAAGTTCTCAGACGTGCTCTAGACATCTCCAAATCCTGCCGTAAAAATAATATGTAAGTTCCCAATTTTATACAAGTTCTATTATTCGATATATAATACCTCATATATAAGAATGTATGGATACGCACACACATATCGCGCAGTACAAACATTTCATCATACCTTGCAAAAAAATATATTGTTCCTTTAAATTTAAAAATTTTAATAGTTTATAGTTAAAAATATTAAATTAAGCCCATTTTAGATAATATCCATAATTAATGTCTGATTTCAAAAAATAGAATGTATTTATAATTTATATATACACTATGTATTTTAATGTGTGTATTTTAATATATGTGTATTCTGATTTCTCTCTACATTTTTTGTATTAGTCTCTATGTTTTTTTACAGTATTACAGTATCACAATAATACATAAAATTAGAATAGAATTCTATAGTTACGTAAAATTGTAATTAAAATTCTATTCTGAATAGAGCCATCTAAGCCATTCAAAGTGCCTTTATCATAAATTTCCGATTGCGAAAAATATAACAAAACGATACATATCTAATATAAATAACACTGTGGACTTATCAGTGAAATTACTTCAAAATAAAATATGTTCAACATAGTTTGCATATATCTTCCACCTACATTCTACAAACACTGAATTTTGCTTTCAATAACATTTTTCATATTTTTTTTTGTGTAAAAAGTATGTTGTAGCAAACCTTCAGAAGAGCCTGATTACGAATACGAGATTTTTCTAAATTTAAAGGCAAATTCGTTGGCGACGAGTCAGAAACTTTGGAAATATTCCTATTGCGAATCTCGCGACGTAATTTGTTGCTGCAAAATAAGATAGAGATAACGTGATTTTCGTTGATCAGGAAAAGTTATATGTACATGCACGCGAATACTTATAACAATATTAGCAGATATTCAATTTCAGCGTAAATACCGTTCTTCTATTTCTTGTTCGAATTGCTGTTCTTTTTGCAGATATTCGTCAAAAACACTTCCAATATCAATACCGCCGCTCTTCGCCATTTCGTGGAACCGGTTGTGGTCTACTATACGCGAGTATAATTATCAATATTCATTCACAATTAATGTTTTTACAATTATTAACCCTGATTATTCTATAATAAGGAAGCAGAAAGGAAAACTATCGTACGTTCACTAGTGTACTGTAGATTGCATGGTTTCCATGGTAACTTTCTTTCCTCGTACTCTTAAAAACAATCAATATTTATGTATGAACTATGGCAATATAGCAGTGTGATATTCATTTAACATTTAACGAGTAGGTATGTTAAAAATTTATAATATTGTAATCTTATAATATATATTTAATTAAAACTACAATAATAAAAAACTTTAAATAAATTATATCCAAGAAAAATTTATTCATAACTCTAATATATATAAATATGATACACATATTAGCTTATTTAATTGTCTGTGCAAAATGTATATTATAATATTATAATACAATTTGATTGAGGGAAGATATACTTTTTTCTTAGAAAGAAGATCCCATTGTCGAATTTATTTATTCTCCTAAAGACTGCGATTTCGGCTGCAAAAATATAATATATTACAATATAGCGTTATTGAAGCATTTTTATTGATACGTGACTTTTATTCTTACCAGTATATATATATGACTTGGTAATGAACGTTCAATCATCTCTGATAGTCGTCCTTTACCCAACTTGTGTTCCTCATCTGTAAATTATAGTTGTGTATCAAATAAATGCAAATATAAAATCTGTAAATTATTCTATATAGGGGATACTATTACCTGCAGGTACAGTTAGCGATAATGTTGGAAGAGCAACAAAACCGGCGACCAGCGGGCGTAAAACCCAATCAACCCTTCGGACATTTCTAGGTAGTATGTAAATATCAACCTGAAAAAAAATTCTCAATAAGGTCATTGAGTAACACCATGTGTAATACAAGCGTGCATCACATACTTGTTTTTGTCCAGCAAACATGAAGGCATCACTGCCTTCCATAGCTAAGCGCAAAGTAACGAGGTAATCAGAGTGGTTTTTTATAAAATACGATATACAGAATGGCGTTCGCACCCATCCGTGGGCTGGCATTTTGGCTTCCAATCCGATCACCGCGTCTTCGACCCATAAAGGAGCTAGAGTTACGCTACTACTAGTTTCCAATGCGGTTTCGTCATTTGCTCTATAAAAATAACGGAGATTACAGACTGTATTATAAATCTTAACTTAAAGTTACTTTTACCTTTTCCACTTGATAGTATATACTCCAATACTAATTGGTTGCTCGCCACCTATTTTTGGGATCAAGCAATAGGCGTCAGTCCCTGTTTCACCATCACAGAGTTTAACACCCGCCAAAATGGACTCCTGGTTGTCGAGAGTGTCCTCTCTTTGAATGGAATCTGCCTAATTACAAATTTGAATTTATCACAACGTTCTAATTTCCCAAACACAAACTTATAAAATGATTGAATTATATACATGTATTCTATGGAGACTTACCAGTTCTACAGATGTACTTAGAATGTTTATAGGCCATGGGGAAACACATGTAATGTGAGGCATAATGATAAAAGATTCGTTAACAAAACCTTTTGTCAGTGGTTCGAACAGTGTGGTGTAAAACTGTGTTGCAACCTCGAATGGTTTCTTAACCATCAACGAATATGTTAATTCTTTACTTCCCCTAATTTGCTCGGGTCTAGTATAGTCGGCCTGTTACATAATTATGGTAAATGATAATACGTGTTATAATAAGTTGATATATTAATTTTTGAAGATAATTATTTATAAGTACCTTTATTATAATATTTCTATCGCCTACTTTATGTGCTCTAATATGTACAATATGTTTGGCTGAGGCACCTCTTACCATATCACCAACAAGAATAGATACTTTTGACTCTTTACTAAGCATATTAATGCTTAATTCAGCTGAAATATATTGTAAAGTAGCTTAGTTGATAGAAAAAGAAAATAGTATTACAAAATTGGATAGAAAAAAATTATTTCCAAAAAAATAAAATACTATGAAAGCGTGAAAACATACTTGATTGCTCGTTGCTACCATCTGATACAAGTATTACATATAAACAGATTGCATTAACATTCTCATTAGCTGACAAGGATATCGTGATAGGTAGCCACTCGCCTAAAAGCGCAGGATTATTGGATTTTGCGTCTAAACTTAAACTTGATTCTTCCTGTTTGATCTCCGTGTGAATTAACGATCTTATTGCCTCAAACTCGCCTCCACTAAAATAGAAATTATATTAGTTCTTCTCAAATGACTTGGATACCAAGAATGGACATTAAGCTTCTATAAACATACCGAAGTTGTTGTATCTCAGGATACAAACGATCCAACAAATTCGTTTCTCTACCCATAGCTGAGAATCTCAATATGATACAACAATGCGCGCTATCACCCATTTGTAAGGAAACTGTGCTAATACGAATTTCTACGCCATCATTTTGATGAGGCGCTTTAAAGTTGAAGTAGAACTTTTTCGTTTCCTTTGCTTGAAAAATAAGATCTGATTGTTGAGCCTCACCAATTGGAATGTCAGCATTGTAACCTGGTCCACTGACTGTTATTGACGCATTAGAAAATTCAATGATACCACAGTAAGAATTCCTGCAGTTAAAGATAAAATTACTTCCAGTAATTTTTAAAGCTATATTTCTACGTATTAAGACATATTTAAATACCTTACAACAACTTCTACTGTTATCATTGTATTCACTGCATACGTTTGTTGCAAGAACCTTGCTTTAAGATCAACAAATGATGTCATGTTATTGTCATCAATTGTAAAAATATTTGGCTCCGAACGATTTAGTTCCAGCATCCATTTCTCCATGGCAACATGCTTAATATCGTCTGGCAGATCTGGCTCTGGATTCGGTGGTTTCTTCTGTTACCAAACGTTAAGTCATTTTTTTGTTAATTTTCATACCAAATAAAGTAAACTCTCATTTACTTATACAATGATTATTATATAGCCAGTAGCGAAACATAAATGCTTCATCGAACTGACCTGTAGTATATTCATGATATTGTTATAAATAACAGCTTGTCGTTCCACTGAGAATGTAGTTGAAGGTCCTAAAGCTTCAAAGGCCAGAGTAAGATAGTCTTGAATACTGGTCGACAAATACGCGGCTCGCAACGCATTCTTTAAGATATCTGTGAGTAAGACCGGCCATCGTTCTCCATGATATTCCCACAACATGTGCATCAATAATCTGATCAATCAAATTTTACGATTTCTATATTAACGCACGAAGATAGTCTAAAGGAAATAACGAAAGAATCGATAACTTTGCCGCTAAATGCCGACAAAGTTTTATTTGCTAAAGGTTCTCATTATAAGTACAGAGAAAAGATTCAATTAACTTACGTAAGAACTTTGCCATAATCCCGAGCATTGAAGTATTCTTCTGCCATTTGCACGACTGTAAAAAAAAAAGAAAAGAAAATGTACGTATTTTATGAGTAATATTACAAGTAATTTTTATCTCTAAATTTTCAAAGACATATTGTACCTAATAATCGCCGCATTCTCGGACAACGGTACACTTTGAATTGCGATATCGCATTTCCTAGTAAACCGATAATTATTATCTGAAAAGGAATGCAAATGTTTTACAACGATTCATTTATCACACGTTACTTAAAAGCACAGGTATATAAATAATTATCTTACAGAATGATTAACTGCAGTCTTCTCCCTGTATTGTAAAGCTTGTATGCCGATGGCCTCTCTAGCAGTGTCTGCCGGTTCTGCACTTAATTTCCCAGGTCGCCATGGCCGTTGTCCATAAAATTCGAGTTTCTCTTCACCTAGTAATGGATCTGGATCTGGATAGCTATTTATATGCTAAAATAGTATTGAAACTTAAGTAATATACAGAATAACAGAAAGCATAACGTATTTGTTGGAAGAAAGAAAAAAAAAAGTACCTGACAGAGTTCTTTACACGCAGATTGCCGTAAACTTGCGTGACTGGCAGCTAATTGGAAATAATATCCCGGATGTTGCGTTTGAACAGCAGGTAATCCTTGACGAATAGCCTCATCAAATAATTCTGCAAATGTAGAGAACTGGCTACTCATCCAAGCATGATGTTCAAACATGAGTTCCTTCGGACCAGTTTTTAGTTTAAATCTAAAAAAAAACAAGTCAATTATTGTTAAGAATAAAAATTTTTATAAATCATTGCAATATAAATATTAATACCTTTCTGTGTGAAGTCTAAACTGAGAAATAGCATCTTTTGGAAGATTTAAACTAAACATTATTCTGCATAACTTATAATTTATAAAACCAGCAATAGTTTTTATTTCTACCGCGTTTGCATCTGTCATTCTTGTTTCTAGAAGATTGTGGTAAGCTTGCATATAATGCCTGCAAAACATTTATATGTACATATATGCATATATATATATTGCAATACACGGTTGTTCATATTTTTAATTTTACTTTTGAGCAAGATGCAGTTCTTGCTTGAGTTCGTTCAAGAATGCCATTTTAAATTGATGACGAACGAATAAGTACTGATGAACATTCTTAGTGAGTTGATCGCGATGAGTTTTGACATTCCGATATTCGTGATGATAAAAGTTTTGCGCCAAATCGTAGAACGCCGTCTCTAGTCTGTAATAAACAAGATTTGTTATTTCCTTCAAATATAGAGAAATGAAAAATAATCAAATTAAATACCTAGATATATATCCCAATAAGTGATCAGCATGTGGCAGAATATATAAAAGCTTTGCTGTTAAATCGCAAGCTCCACACAGCGCTGTTGCACGCTCAGTTGCGACTACGTCCTCGGCACCGGGAAGCGGTTGAACGGCATGTTGTATCAATACTACGGCTATTTTCGTACTCCTCCCATCAAGGGCAGCTCTAAAAAAACATCATATTGCTCGGTCTAACGCATCAACAATATGATAAATTACACTCTAAACGAATTATAAAATGTTACCTTAAAGATTGGACTCTAGAAGCACATTCCATCTTTTTCTCATTCCATAGAGGATCATTCCAATCTAAATCGTAGAACACAACAACTACAGAAGGAATGTCATTGAGATACTTGTTCATCCAGTTCCGTTTTAAAATTCCTTTGGGTATGTACCATTCGTACGAGCTACGCTGAAATGTATAAAGATAATTACATAGCAATATCAAGACAAATAATATCGATTGAGTACTTTCTTCACACGTGTGTCTCAGCAGGCATTATATACTGTCAAACATACCTTTGGTTTGACAGTAGGAAATTCGTGCGCTAAACTGAGCAGCTTGAACTGAACAGCTGCGCAATCTGGTCTACGATTATTGCTGAATGCATCCCAGATAGAGCGATGTACTGGATTCGCAATGTCTAATCCAGTCAAACCTATCAGAGCTAAAGGCTTAGCTATCAATTCTGCCGGCAACTCAAACATCATGAGGTCTTTACTAGAAGAATAAGTAACCATTAAATATGTGATAACTCTCACAAGTTTTCAGGCGTATTATATGTTTAGAAATTTCTCCTCTCTCAGCTCTTTAATATTATTTGTATACTAGTCTTTTAATATTGTTTCTTATATAAATAATACCTGAATCTGCTTACGAACGAGCTGCATGGAATAACACGTTATTAATACGCAGATTATTCTGCGATTAGATCAGATTAGACACCGTAATTAATATATGTATGTCATTTTGCACTTTGACAGTTCAGATTTAGGGTTATGAGTTGTCATCAGCAAAAAAGGCGCACGTTAGGTTAGAATTCGTGTGCGGAAAGTGCGACGCGTAGTCGCAGTGGAACTTGTTCCTTGTAGTTGCACCACGTTGTACTTTCCGCACTTATAAGATAAAATAATATATGCATAATTAGAAAAGAAAAGGAGAATAGATAAAAAAAAAAAAATTTAGCTAAAAGAAGGAAATATATCGTCCACGTTGTCTTATCGAGATATGGAAAGAAAAGTCAATATCAATCTTTGAATTTAAATTAATCTAATTCGAATTATCGATATTCTAATTGTATATTATACAATACATATACATTGATAAATATAAATAAAAATAGAATTATAATATTGAGATTAATCATTTGAGACATTATTAAATCAAAGCCATTAACCACACGTAGAGTTCAATTATAAATGCATCGAAAATGTATAGAAAAAAAGAGGAAAAGCGAAAAGCACGCAGGCACAAAGAAAAAAATTATCAAATGCGATCCGATATGCAAAGGGAGAAAGGATCGCGACTATCGAATTTTAAAATTAATTACCTCAATCTAATTAATCCAAATTAGCGGTATATATTATATATATAATAATACAGAAATTGATATACACATATTGGTATAATACAGAATTATATAATACTTGAAACGATTAAACGATTTTGTACATTAATTCAAAGCCTGCATTATAATTGTACACAGCTAGAGTTCCATTACGGACGCGTCAGAAATTTACAACGGTATAACAAATACAAATACAATATGATACATATATAGAACAAATATAAACCGATTGCCTTTTATCCTAATGCGCCAAACGTATAATTATGCGACGACACGGTGTTCTAACATAAAAGAGGTAGCCTCTGACGGCTGCGCGTCTTCCTCCAATTTTGTTTCTTTGGTCGGCGACTCGGGGGAATTTAATTTGGTATGTTCCGGTGTGAGTCGAACAGTAGTGCCGTGCCGGCTGTAGTCCTCGATCTCGCCTATCGGCTGATCAACGTCCTGCCCCGTATTTTCATTACATTTTCCCTGTTTACAGAAATTAATCAAATTGTACCCTCATTAATTGCGAATATTCTCTGCAGTTGTATAGGATTTTCAAATTAGTAGAATTGTTACAGTCGACGAAGGCGATTATACACGAGCTTACTTGTAGAATTCGCAGCAACTCCCTTCGAAATTCCGTACTGCAGACAAGATATATAAGAATATAAATGGCATAATTGCTGAGCTCGACGATCGCCGAATAAACTCGAAACGTTTGGTAATCGAGGTCCAACGGGCGACGATCGGTATACAGTATCGGGGTGAGACTTGGCGGGATTGCCGTTACGAAAAAGCATAGAATCATCGTTGTCGTCAATATCGCCAAGTGTTGCTCCTCTCTGAAAAGAGTGATTTTTGTAAGAACACTGGCCGGTGAGATCCAGAAATATATAATATTAAATTTCTTGCTTTAAAAAAACTAAAAATAAAATCAATTTTTTTATTAGATATTATTATACATACTTGTATCCTCGATTGCGAGACAATAACGACGTATCGGGCGCGTTGTTGGTCCGAAATTTGTCTGTAACGGTGTGGAATTGTCGGCTTTGCACATTCAGCTGTAGAAATCTCTTAATGACCAGACTATTCAGTACGATAAATATGATCGACGGGCAAATTCGCACTATGATCTCCATTATCCAAATATACGCTCTCCACATCGTACTTTGCGTAACGAACATGTTTTCGCGTAATGTAAAAGAACCGCCGGATCCATCTTGCTCCGCATAAACGATTCTCATAACCGACAGCGGACCACTAATCTATAAACAGAATAAAATGTGTATCTAACAATGCGTTGTATTAATTATTACATATGCCTATTGCATCCGCTCGTTATTATCGCCCATGTAAAACGAGCCAATTCGCCAACGGCTTTTTAGAAGAAAAAATCGTTTTAAAAGAGCGTTCGATATGCCAATTTTTTTTACATAAGAGAACCTAAATAGTTCAATGAAAGATAAGAGTGTCATTTCACGTAAAACAGCTTACCATGAAACCGGCAATGAAAGAAGACAGTACGAAGGAATTGACGTTCTTGCGCACGTTTCCGGTGCGAATGCGCGACGGGAAGAATACAAAAATGTATCGATCCACAATTAAGCAGACCATGATGAAAACACTGGCGGCCGAGAAGGCGTTCAGAACAACGAGTTCAACGTGAGCATGGTAGAAAGCTGATGGGTAATTGTTGCTCATGCCGTAGCCCAATCTCAGCGCTGAAACATGTATATCTATAGTTACATAAATATAATCGTGTCGTAACACCTTATTCATATGATTATACTATTGAGCACTGAGAAAAAAGACTGCTATTGTGCAAACGAATGTAAGTTATAATCGACCAAGAATTACACACGCTGATACAAACTGTGTCAACACAGAATTAATTGTAATTGAATACAATTGTCGCACGAGTGACAGTATTAATTGACGAATGAGTCAAGTGTCGTCGCGTTCTGAATTAAATTAATTCAATTCATTAGTTTGGACGTGGACGCAACAGTCTTTTTTTTTTTTCAATCAAGCAGTGTTTTCTTCCGCAGTGCACGCTGTCGGGATCGAATTGGTACAGACTGATTGTTATCCAAGACAGGATGACGCCGATGTGCGCCAGCGCGAGTCCGTTGAGGTACAAGTACGCGATACCGCGAAACATTGGGCCGGACAGCACGACAAGGATCGCCGCATTGCCGAAAACGCCGACGGCCAATATGATCGGGACTACGACGCCGTAAGCGGTCCATATCAAGGACAATGCCTGGCTCCGAGTAATGTCGTCAACGTCGTCAACGTCGATAGGCGCGCGCCCGACAGTAAAGTTGTCATCCTCGCAGCACAACTGAGTACTGCAAAAAGCATCTTCATCGGGCATCTCGCCATGTGTCATAGAAATGAAGTAACAAATATTATTGCCGACGAAGATAAAAGTATGTGATTGTTAAAATTGGTTATTGTTTCGTAATAAACGGTTTGTGTCGCTCAATTAACTCCAACATTTGTTAAAATATATAATTAGAAGTAAAGTAGGAACAAAAGACGACGTGTTTGCTAATGAAGCAGGATTTACTATGGAACTGCGATATACGAACCCGTCGATCACTCCTGTCAGCATTGTACGTTCCGTTGATTGTCAATTATACGAATTTATATTTATAAAATCGTCGTGTTAGAGAACTTGTACTGTCGACAAAGTGATCTAAAAGCTATTTACTGTTTGACGTTTCGCGTCTCTCTCACACGCACATCTCGCCGTTCGTTTCTCCTCTTCTCGCTCTTAGCCAGCTGCAAATCTACTTTCAATAAAGACATGATAGACTCTAACAGGTTTACCTGTGGCATATCCACCTCATGGGTCTTGCTCCGGAAAAATATATACTGCGCAAGCCCCGGGAAGGTATAACGTCAAGGCATATAGGGGTTTATTTAAACACGAGTGATAGAATGATAGACTTAAACCCTTTATTAAGGTCAAGCTGCTTGAACAAACAACAGGGGTCTATTATTAATTGTTGTTTACGGACAAATACTTCACCGTGGAGATAATACAGATTATGCAATAAAGAAAGATTGAAATGCAATTAATCAGGGTTATCATATTGTATTATAAAATGGGCGATCAATTTAACGCTTCCTTTGTTTAAAAAGGAAGCTATCATCACCTTTCGGTCATTTCATTATTATGGCTCGTCTACAATAGCCGCAACAGTATGCAGTAAGACGTAAGCAGAATAAGCTGTTGACTAATGGAATTTTTACAATTCAAGAATAATCGATTGTGATCGGTCAATAGTTTACTGCTCACGTCTTACTGCATACTTTTACGGCTATTGTAGACGAGCCATTTCTTGTTTATTTATTAGAAAATATTGTGAATTTACAGCTATCCTGATTATCGCACTTGATAACGACGCCATAAATATATGTTCAAGTGATTTGTAGAAATTATGAAATAAAGGGAAAAGAGAAATATCGAGTTTTCTAGCGTTTTCTGCCTTTCGAAAAGCGATGTTGCACTGAAATTTTGGATATTGTTTCCAGCGGTTTTGTGACAGCGCAAAGAGAATAATAAATTCATCAAACTAAGTGAGAATCAGATTCGTATTTGCAAAACAATATGAAAAGATCGTGGGCTAATAAACGAGCGGACAATAAAGTCGTTTGTTTCCGCGGAAAATATGACATACGTGTAATCTCTAAGACGGATTGTCTCCGGCACTCGGCATACGTTCCAAGAAAAGAGATAAAGAAGAGATATGTATATACTCTCTATTGTTCAACGATTAGTTAAAAAAATTGTAAATTTTAAAAATGACAGGACTAATCCGAAAAATCAAGTCCTTTCTCTCGAAAAGTCCTCGTTGAACGATACAGAAGATCGTCAGAAACTCCGACGAAAGCGATGATATCAACGGCAAGCAGCGAGATAACGGTGAATGAACGATGGGGTCTCGATATGGAGATTAATAATCGCGGTGTCAAATTATCGGAATCGAGGTCGAAAGGCGCCGCCGAGCCGAGCAAACACCCCATATCCGTGAGACGCGATCGATGGATAGTCGCCAACGCCGAAGGAGGATATCCCCACGACCACGACGTCGCTGATTCCTTCGAGCGGAAAACATTGTCAGAGACATTTCTCTCGCCCGATCGCGTTTCCGCTCGGTCGATCGATAAAGACCCACCGACGACGGCAGGCGAGTCTGAGGCGCCTCGGCATGATAAGGAGCTCGTCGTTTTCGCGAGGAAAAGAAACGGACTCGCAATTCGCAATTCATTCACGATGTGAAATGAATGAGCCGCAAATTCTTGCGCGAGGAAGACCTCTTCGCAGGCCTTCTCGAACGTCGACACACGGAGCGAGTGCACAGAAAAAAAAAAGAAATGTCAAATCAACATTTATATACACTCGTATATACGCAACAATCTATAATCTTCTTATAAGAATTTCAACTCTTCGTTTCAACTTTTTTTTCTTGGCTGAACTATATAAATGACTTCATTCAAGCAAGTTTTCTTCGTTTAACGCAATATATATATGTTATTTCAAGATTATAGATTCTTAGCGTATATACGAGTATATACATGGTATATGGTAAGTCTTCTTTCAACATTTCTTTTTTTTCTGTGCATAGTGCCGTAGATAAAAATGTCGAGGAAGCAGCTTACAAAGACGATGCTGTGTGAGAAGAAGATACAAAGTTGTTGTTATGTATAATAGGATGATCGATTTGCGATCAAAGGAGAGGAGATGAAGGAAGCCGAAGATAGAAAAAGGGCGACAATAAAGGATACGTCAAAGCGACTACGCGCGATTGTTCCGACGCAATAAAAATTCTGACTTCCGTCAAAATTTTAACTCGCGAGGTTTTCTTAGCTGATCGCGAGGAAGAGCGCAATTCGAGTAACAGCGGACTCAAGAATCTCGATTCGCGACAGGCTGTTTCTAACGCTTCTACAAAGAGAAGAAAGACCTCCTTATATATAATATAATGAATAATATGTAACAATGTAACAAAATATGAAGGATAAATTTGATGGTGCACCGCTACGTCTTTAAAGCTCCTCCGGCTTTCTTGGCCAGAAACGAAAATATCTTAAAACATTTCGACAAATGCATTGAATTTCAAAATGTTCGATATCATAAGCTATTGCGACTAACAAGAACAATTCATATATTACATATATGCACACTCGATACCGAATTCGCGTAATTTAATTCTGTCGAGTCAAGATTTGTCAACTGAACGAATCAATTGTCGTTTAAAAGGTCCGTTTTATCATTGTCTCAATTGCATCAACTACCGCCACTTAAGAATTATCGAATTATCTTATTTTTCGATGTTTTAACTATTCGATTTGTCAATCTCACGTTTCCTGAACTGGTTTTGGTGAGTTGCGATCTCGTTTCTCTTTATCGATTAGGTTCAACTTTCATTTCTAGTTCAATCATTTTGCAAACTGCGAATGTTAGCAAAATTTTACTAGTATTTTTTCGTGAAAATTATACTATCTTTGTGGGTGTGTATGTATTTTGCTGAAGATAGCTCAAAGTAAAACCGAAACGTATGTACATTTTCTAATTTTGTACTGAATCGTTAATTACAAAACTAATCTCTCTCGTTCGACTCTCAATAAAGCTCATTTTTTCCTTTAGTTGTTTACTTATTTTTTTTTACTTGCTTACTTATGATACTTTCAATATCAAAAAATCTTTAGTTAATTATCAATTTATTTAATTGTACATATTGATAAACATTACATTTCTCATGCATATATCTTTAATCGCTAATTATCTTATCTATATTTCTGTAGAGAAAATTAAAAAAATTGATTCAATCGGAAGCAATTTCTGCTAATGTCATGAAATTTTCGACATCTTAAAGTGGATTGGATATATATATTAATTACACAAGAGATTAATTCAGAAAAGTCATTTGACATGAATGCAGATAACTAACATTGTTAAAACGATATTAGAGATTGCTAATACAAATTATTATAAATTTATTTTTGTGCAAGTTGTACTCGGAAGTGTTTCAATATCGAATTGCCAATCGGTAACCAATCAACCCAAAATAAAACGCAAACTACTGTGCATCCTTCCGAGTCACTGAGTTTATTCGCAAACACGGCAAACGAACAGGCATGTGGACAATGAATGCGATAGGGTCAACCTCGCCAGCGCGTTTTGGGGGAAAAAACGAAAAAAATAGTAACTGCGATTAAATCTAACAAATTTGATGAGTTAAAATTATAAACAAATCGTACAATATAATAAAAAAAATTATATACATATGCACAATAATATTCTAAATATAAAGTAATTAAAAATTAATATAAAATAAATATGATCTTTACTTTCTCTCTGTGTTCTGCTCGTATATTATATATATATATTTATTTTAATTATCTATATTATATATTTCAAACACGTTATATTTTAAATTGTATTTTAAATATAATTTGAAAAATATCTGAATCTCGATCGCAACACATAAAATGTTATCTTCTGAGAATTTTTTTCCGTCTAACAGGAAACTTGTGACAAGACCTTTTCAAGCCTTTTTAATTATTGATTGTCAAGTCCGCTGCACACGATCAGACTTTTAGTTGGAGCATTTCCCACAGAGGCGCCACAATCCACTTCCGAATGCACTTGTAACATTTCCAAAAGGGATTGGTTAGATGGCGTTGAAGAAAAAAAACAAAGGGAATGGTGCATGCTGCATCTTTTCGCATTTATATATTTTTAAAATGACAAGATATCTGTACGTTCTTCTGTATTATCTGAACGAGAAATGATTGTCGATAATCCGTAAGTTGCCACTTAATAAATTCGAGCTCTGCGCGCGTAGACTTCTGTATAATATAATTAATTTAATTGAACGATCAGACCAATTATAATTTATTACACGTTGCAGAAAAAAATGTACTGCCTTTTAATAGCTGCTGTGTTTTCAAATTATAGAACGAGACAATAAATTAAAGACATTATATATTGATATAATCAACTCGTGTGTGAAGATGGTGTTTTTATGAATAAAAAATATTAAACATGGAAAAATTTTCTATTGCAGGTTTGGGAACTCAGGGGAGAAAACTTGCACGGAATATTATGCGGAAATTTGGCTGACAAAATGTGCTGCTACCTGCTCGAACACTACTTATTCCGCCTTTATTTTCAAAGATGTCGACGTGCCGTGTCAAAAGTTAAACTGGGATACGTGCTCTTTTGCTTCGGCATGATAGCGCTCCTGGAATTTTTCGGAGCGTTTGTGCACATATTTGAGATCACGTACGACGAAAACTTCGTATATCCGTACGAAGGCAACGTACACGAGTTCGTGAGTGCTCTGCGACGCAATGAGAAGCCCGAGGTTGAGCCGATAAACGAGTACAGATACGCTTTCATCCTGAAGCAGCCACAAAAGTGTAAAGAAGATGCGGACGACACGCTTCGTCTTGTATACATAGTCAAGTCTGCTATAGAGAATTTCGATAGAAGGACCGCCATACGTAATTCATGGGGAATTGAAAAGAGATTCTTCGATGTGCCAGCGAGGACTATTTTTGTAGTGGGCACACATCCGGAGGACGAGGAAGTGGAGGCCAAACTAAAACTAGAGGCAGGTATCTACAAGGATATCGTACAGGCAGACTTCGTAGACTCGTATTACAATAATACTATAAAAACAATGATGAGTTTCAAGTGGTTAGTCAAGTATTGTACCAATTCAAAGTTCTACATGTTTGTCGATGACGATATGTACGTATCGGTAAAGAATGTAGTGACGTTTGTCAGAAACCCGGCTAACTATCCATTTCACTTAATGGAATCTAGAAAGGTGTACAGCGCACACAAAAGAGAAATCAAACGGTCGGATTTAATCGATTATAATGACGTTAATTTTAATAATAAAAATGCGACGTATGACCCAACAATCAAAATGTCTTTTACACAAAGTTTTGCCATTCACGAATCTACAAATAACGATAGTCAGAGAAATGTGTATGGGAAACAAGATAGACAGATTAATGAAAGCCGTAAGATAGAAAAGGAACGATTGCTCAGGCTAAATGCAACTACGTTGAATAGAGTAAAACGACAGTTTTTCGATTTGGAGCTGCCAGACGACATTAGACTGTTCGCTGGATTCGTATTTATGCGATCTGCGCCACATCGGCATAAGTTCTCTAAATGGTACGTCACGTTAAAAGAATATCCGTATCACTTGTGGCCGCCATATGTCACAGCCGGTGCATATATCCTGTCTAAGGAAGCCCTTTTGGACTTGTACTACACAAGTTTCTATACTAAGCACTTCAGATTCGACGACATCTTTTTAGGTTTAGTAGCTAAGAAAGCTGATATAGTACCGTTTCATTGCGAAGAGTTTCATTTCTATAAGAAAGCTTACACAAAATATAGTTACAAGTATGTCATAACATCTCATGGATACGAAGATCCAAACGAACTCTTACAAATATGGAACGAGCAGAAAGCTCTCGGAAACGCTTAAATCTATAAAATAATGCAAAAAATTCGTAATATATATTATCACATGGATTTAGATATGGAGTTAAGAGGAAAATAAAGTGTCGCGATAGCATATCTTGACAAGAATATCTTAAAGAAGTTAAAATCCAATTGATATACACATGTATGTACATACGTGTGAAGGAAGATAAAATATGGCAATTGTAAAATAATAATTATATGAAAACGTTCGGATTTTATTGTAAAAAATATTCTGTAACTTTCCTAGAATAGATTTTAACCCGTATCAGTCTTTATATACATAATACCCTTTAATAAAAAGTTAAATTGTTAGTATTATACATATTATTCACGCATCGCATTTAAGTAAAACAATACTGTTAATATTTATAATTATTTCGTGATAAATTATATACCGAATATGTATTCGTTCGAGTTTATCAATAGAATATCGTTCGGTTATAAATTTTATTTAATCAGTAATCACACATATAGACTGATTAATGTTATTTCTATAAAATAGTCAAATAACATAATTAACATAAATATGCGTTTGTATCGTTTGTATAGTTCAAAAATTTTGTAGAGGCTATAAAAGAACTCGTATGTTCTAAAAGTCTATATTTACAATTTTGTACTTGTTAATTAATAAACTATATCTCTGTGATAATGCATCCATTGATAAATTTAATAAATACATTTTCTGGATATCTGGCCCCTCATAAATTTTTTATCGAATTCTAATTTTACATCTTATTATCGATACTGTTCGGCTTTAACTAAAGTTTGATCCAGGCTGACAGCTTCTTTTTTGATCATATTAAGCAATAATTGGGAACTCTCTAGAATCTACAATAAGACAAATATAACTTGAGAGATGCACGATACCGGTAAGATTACCATATCCGATAAAAATACAACATTTACCTTCACATATGCTGTCTCAGTATCGGCAATTGTTCTATCGTATTCGTTTCTGACCGTAATTCTTTTTGCCAAACTGTCGTTCAACTGTGTAAGCTTACAGGACATCTTTTCGATTTCACGTTGCAAGTTGTTCTTCTCTTCTTCCTGGGACTCTATCTGAGCTTGAAGTTCCGATCGCTTCAGCTTCATCTCTTCTAAACCTAGGAGAACAAGTTTCTTTTTCAGTATAAACGATCAAAGTAATCCCGTTCCTAAAGATATCGTGTCACGATATGGTGGTATAAAGTGTTTGGAGATCTGATATTTGAGTGACAAAATCTCGTTTGGCAATTATGGTGTCTTTAACGCCACAAGCGTATCGTGTACTTGTATTTTGTTTCAAATCTCCAAAATCAGACTAATAAAAAAAACTCAAACTAATCTCTCCGTTGTGTCATACCATTCCGCTTATCTTCCTTGTAAACTTATAAAGTGACAAATAATTTTTAGGTTAAACGGGACTTACATTTGACGAGCTCCTGATTATACGTTTGCAGAGCAGCTCCGTGTTGTGACATTGTGAACCCTCCATTCACGGGAAACTTCATATAAAACGTGTGTATCTAAACGCGGACGATGACGTCAGGGCTGTCAAAAGAGAAAGAAAGGTCAATGTTTACAACGCGTTATCGGAACCGCGCGATTTCCCGCGAGCGACGCCTCGCACATGCGTCACATGCACATGCGTGTCGGGCGCCATCATAGAAGGACGAAAAGATTTTTCTTTTTTTTCTCGCGGTATGAAAATACGATTTTTACGATCTATACGCATAAAAATTCAGAGAAAATAGAAAATTAAAATCAAGAGATTCTTATACACATCTAAATGTAAAAATCTTTAAATATTTTTAATAGACGTATATATTATAAGTAATTTGATTTTTTAAGTTATACTTGAATATAAATTCAAATAATGCAGAAGCATATAAATTTAAATGTAAAAACCGTAGTAATTAAATGTGTGGTAAAATGTAAATTATTTTCTATACTACGAGTGTAGAAAGTAATAATGTGCAATTATTTCTACTTTGATTTAACTCACTATATAAAAGGCTGTATTACACTATATACGGGTTGTGGGCACCTAGCCGACAGAAATGATTAAATTTGATTATTTTTAATTTTTCTAATTACAAGTGTACACATTTCAGGATCTGCGTAATGCAATCTGACGACAGATAGCAAAAACCGAGCAGAATCTGTTGTTTCCATTATTTGAAATATAGGAGACTATAGAAGATCGATGTATAAAATACGATTAACGCGAAAATCGATATATATTTGCCTTAACAGAAAATTCACGAGATAACACCAACTCACTTTGCAGATTCTTGATCCCCGAGATCGGGGCTTAACTGGTCTGCTTTCAAAACCAGTTTTCTTTTTCTGGGCCGAATCCTGAATCTATATTGCATAACCGCGTACGATCGTAAAACTACTTTCGGTGTCTAAGGTACCACAGTTGTTCTTGTATCAGTTTTATTATCTTGATTCGAGGATCACCACAAAATCCTTATTCTTCATGAAACACGAAGAAGCAAAAGTTGATTGAGCGTTAACATATAAAATTAATTATCAATAGTTAGAATTGTACTCTGTTTTAGACGTAAATTACATATTCACGCAAAAAGTGCAACTCGATAAGAAAGTTATGTTTCCCCAATATAACAAGACATATCATTTAAATAAATAGAATGCACCTGACATGGAACATCCGTATATAATAATATTATACATCAGGAATGTTCCCATGATCTTATACTTTTGCGATATCCTCCGAAACATTTTCACGTGTGCTGTTATAGGGTCCTGCGGGTTTCATTTTTATTTCTCGAACTCTATTAGATACGTTCTGTACCTATGCCATTTGCATTCTACATATTTTGCGTTCAGACAATTTCTGGAACAAGATCGTAGGTCGTATACCTATAAAGCTCAGATAGATCTCCCTTCGCGAGACGAGCGACCTGATTTCGCGTTCGTTTAATAACTTTAATCCGCGCCGAGGAAGAGAAGGAAGAGGAGGGACGCGCCGCGCCGCGCCGCGCCGGATGGAAGCGCGATCGCGGGCGGCGAGGACTAGTTAGCGCGCACACCTGAACTCGCCTTTTAAAGGCGTCAGACGAGAGTGCGTGGTGGAAAAGCACACGCCGTGATAAACACACCTTTCGCTCGCGGTCGCGGGTCGCGGGACGGCCGCCGACCATTCCAGCGACTTCGGCCGCGAGACGGACGAGAGAGCAGCGGGGCTCGATCGCGCCGTGCCGCTCCGGAGTCCGGGGCCGTCGATCGCGTCTCGAGCTCGAGCTCGAGCTCTCACGAGTTTCGCGGATCCGGGCGAACGCCGTCGCCGTCGGAATCGTCGCGGAGTCGCGAGTGCTCTTCGGGCGAGTGCAGGGACGACCAGGGACGACCGATTTCAAGGAGGAAAAGAAGGAAAGAAGGAAAGAAAGAGAAAGAGAGAGAGAGAGAGAGAGCGAGAGTGAGAGAGGAAGAGAGAAACACGGGAAGGACCAAAGGAGGCGGCGAATATTCGCGTGAGCGATCGATATGTCGCGACGATCCAGGCACGCCACGTTCGGCCAGCGCGTCACCACGAGGAGAGGAATCGCCCGTGGATAAGGATCGGCACACGCGAGGGACCGTAATCCCTCCTGAGCAAGGTACGCCAGCCCGCGACTGGTCCCCGATCCTCTCGAGGGTCCCCAGCATTTCTGGGCCCTTCGAGCGGCCCTCTCCCGAGCGATCCCGATCCATGAAGAGATCCGCACGCGCCGACCGATGCGAGCGCGTGTGCGTCCCTCGCGACGCGATCTCGGTCTCGGTCCCGTGTGTACGCTTCGCTTGAACATCTCCTCATTGACCATTTTCTCTCTTTCTCTCTTTCTCTCGCTCGCTCGCCCGCTCTTTTTTCTTTGTTTTTCGGGGATTTATATCGTGGGAGGACGGTGCGTGCTGCATCGGATCTGCGGCGCCTGCGCGCGTCGCAGTCCGCTGCTTTCGTCTCCTGCGTGCACAGGTCCGTTTAAAAATCGCGACTAACGCGAGAAAAACGTGATGCGGGAGTTTAATAACCGGTTGGCTGACGAGAGTGAACGTATTTTAGACGACGACGGGCATTAATTAATCGTCGATACCGTTTGTCACACATTTATTTTGTAGAAAGTAAATGAATTCGAGCGGAGCTGTTGGCGAACTCTCAGGTCGATCGCTTAAGATAAATTCTCGTGAAATTAGAGAGGAAAAAGAGATCAAGTTTTATATATATATTTTTTTTTTTATTAATTTCAGCTTTGAGCTTATGTATCGCCAAGAAATGGAGTTGGTTACAATTTTCTCTAAATCACTCGCACCATCCACATTCCATATTTTATTTCGTCTTACTGCGACAACACTTTTCTAACACAAAAAAGGAGATCGAGTTATTTAAGATTAGTTTAGTTTAATTCCGGAGAAATGATAAAAATCTCGTGATCGATCTTAATTAAATATTTATCTCTCACAGGGCTGAAATCACCTCCTCGAAGCGATTTCGGAACGACGTGAAATCCGACCGTCCTTATACATCATGAAATATTTTGCTCTTGAGGATACATTTTTTTTTACAATAAAGATCAAAGAAATATCACGGCGCGCTGAACGTACGTGTTTAATAAAGACATAACTGTGACAGATATGACAATTTATATCGTGAAACAAATCAAAACGAAAGGCCGTCTTGAAAGAATCGCGGGGGAACGAATCGGAGAGGGGGGCAAAGAGTATGCGCGCATTACTGATCGAAGACGTTGCACATGTCCTTGTCAAGTGACATCATCGTACTAAATAAGGATTTGCCCAATGCGATGAACGGCGCGCCGTGGGCACTGCCTACGGACCGCGAGACAATCCCATAATGATGCATCGTTTTGCAATCGTTATGCGCAGGCAGCACTTAAAGGAACGCTATACCTAACAATAAATTTGCATTCGACCGTGGAGGACTACACAATTGGATAGAACGTGCCTCAAACGGGCCGCTCTGCTGAATGAAACTAAAAACGAAAATATATATGAAAAAAAAGGACTTAGCAACGCGAATGTCTGTTCCTTTCAGCGAAAGCATATTTGTTGTGGGTGATAGCGTAAATAATGCATCCGATGCACGAGTTTCTTTTAAAATATGCGATATATTTTAAAAAGGAATTTTCGAAAACGGATGCGCTTTTACACGTTGTGTCTGTGCTGTGCAGTCTAAACGTAATCCTCTCCTGCCCTTTATCATCTGTGTAGTTTATAATTTTTGACAATCTGTGGATAAATTAATATTTACTTCTGTTTCAGATGAGCTAAACGGACGTTTCTGATTAGTCACGTGCTTGTCTTTGACATTCCCTGTGCGCGAGTCGATTGACACAGACTCCAAAATGCATGCTTCGAGATATGCTGGATATCACATTAACGCAAATCGTGATTATATTACGGACGGCGAGGAGAGCCACAGAGCTCCTTCGGATCGCACCGTGTCTGAATATATCGTTGCTAACGAACATACTACCATGGTAATGCATCTTATATCCATAGCAAACTGTATTCTATTCTATTATATTGGTGTACACATTCTTATTATACCTATATTTAGTCGTTATTTTTATTTTCTATAAAATTCTTCTTTTTCAGGTGAAACCTCCAAGAAAGAACCACGCAGATAGGTATGACAGAGAAGAAGATAGGAGATCCAGAAGTGCGCATAATACTCGTGACTCGGTATTGTCCGGATCTTCGAAGCATAGTTTGCATCCGCTTCGCAAAAGTGCCTCGCACGGTAGCATTTGTGACAATGGTTCAGATATATATGTCACCAGCGCTGCGTACAGAGCTACTTCCGACATAAGGTTGCAAATTTATAAACATATAATATTCAATTATACCGTAAATATATACTCGTAGTGCAAAATGTATGTTTTATGTTACAGTCGAGTATCACGCCCCAGCCTCGCACCAAGCTCCAGATTGGATCACAGAGCGCCTAGTCATTACAGCTACGGTTCCGGCAGGTCAGGCACCTCGACAGTGAAAACTCGTACGTCACGGAAAGGCGGTATAATTGTGGAAACCATGTCGACGCCTAATCCGTTCTGTCCAAACACTAAGGGCGTCTGTTGCCTTATGTTACTTCTCAATCTTGGCTTGATTCTAGTTACTCTAGGCTTCGTTATCGTCATACAATTCTTCCAGCCATTAGTCGTTTGGTAAGAGTACTACGTAATAAATTTTTACATCGCGTGAATTTTAAATTTTTAAACTAAGTTTAATTACTTCAGTTGTAAAGGACAAATTAGAATTGCATATTTTTAATGATTATTCGTAACGTAAAGGAAAAGCATGATATATAGATGTATAGTTGAGAGTACATAATGTATATATTGTACAAAATATTAGAGATATTAGAGATACTATATCCTATAAAATTGTATTTGTAATGTAAATATCTTTTGTAGGATTTTGGGAATAATATTTCTTGTGTTTGGCTTTTTGACACTGATTGGTAGCCTCGTGTATTGCGTACATGTGTTCAGAAATGCCAAACACCCACACGATATCAATCCAGAAGATTTATACTGGACCCATTACTGGCAAGGTCGTGTTGGTTCTACAGCACCTGAAGTTTATTATAAAACGGAAGACAAATATCAGGATGATGGCTACAGCGATCGATACAGCAAATACTCGGGAAAGTATTATGACAGGCAAAGTCAGAGATATTGATTGGAATGTGAGAAATGGTATTGACCATTAATTTAAAAGACCCATCATTCTGCCAACTCTTATATAAAGGGTTTTAAAAACCAATGACGAACAAAAAACTAATCTCAGTGCAATGAAATATAGTACTTATGTGTATTTGTGCATAGATACTGTACTAACATTCTTTTTCAAAAAAATATAATTTGTAAATGTACCTTTTTTTATAATACCAATATAAATGATCTGTAAAAAGAATAATCTCTTTCCCCCAAAAATAACATATAGAATTTTCCGCGTTAACTTGATAATTCGCAATTTAGTGTATCGGTACATTAACATTTTTAATAATAGGCAATTCTAAGTATTTATATTTTATATATAAAGCATAAATATATATGTGACAATAATTCCATTTTTTTATAAACATTTGTACAATGTATTATAACAAGAGAAGATATTTATAAAATAATACTACTTATCCATAAATGTAAGTAACTATCCTGTTACATAATCAAAAAGTTTTGGATTTACAAACGTGCCTGATTTATCAATCAGGTAGTAAAAGGATCTATTTTGTATTTTAATTGGTAAGACTCCTCCTCCGGTGGTTCTATCTGCGGTGCATCTGACCTTAAAAAGAATATCTCAAATAAGGAATGTTTCAAAAATAAAAAAAAAACATTTTGTTTATCTATATATTGACGCTCTAAAAGCGTTCTATATTATTATTAATAATAATAAACAATTTCGTAACTTGCCAGTGATGACTAACGAATATATTTTAATTATTTTTCGACTTAACTGGCCACAATTTAGTACAAAATCACGACGTTTGAGCTCTTGGTTTGGGCCCTTAGCAAGTGTAAAATTAGCTCGTAAATTATTCACTTTCAACTGAAAACAATGGTGTCTCCTATTAGAAGTTTCTTTTATACCACGAGTCAACGCTATGGAAGTGACAGCACTAAATTATTGAAAAATTGGATTAACATCAAGACCAAATCTTACACTATTAAACAACAATTAATTTTTTTACTTCGATGCCGAAAACATGACATGTTACCACCACACATAAGGAATTTACGAGCTAATTTTACACTTGAAAAGGGTCCAAACCAAGGGCTGAAACGTCGTGATTTTTTACCGAATTTTGGTCAGTTCAGTCGAAAAAATTAAAATATATTCATTATTATTAATATTACATATGAAATTTTTATTAATCTCATTCATAACTATATACAAATAATTCTTACCATATCCACTGGTATGCTTATGGTGGATTTATTCTTTCGCATGTGAAACGTAGTAATTGAAAGTGTTTCACCACCTTTATTTAAGATAATGTACTTGATGCTACGAGCGCATGTAGCATAAATGACTAAAAACATGATAGGACCTACAAAATAAATAATACATACAGTTCCAAAAAAGGACAAAATTTATCTGCTCCATTTTTTTATAAATATGAAGAATTGTTTAGAAAATAAAAATATAAATCTCTCTTACGCATACGTATAAAATATCAATTTTTATTATATTATATATAAGTGTAAAAAGTGATTCTTACCTGCAAGAATTGCGCAAATAAACGTGCTAAGTCGAAACATATGATTGTAACAAAATTCCTTAAACTTTATGTCAGTATAGAATATATCCCAGAATGATGGCTTATAAGTATAAAAAGCCAATACTGACCAACCAAATAATTGTCCAATTGAAAAAATTCGCATATATCGGTAATATGCACTCTTTTCAAGTTTATATAAAACTACGTTGTTCTGTACATTCGTATTTACATCCAATTGTGACATTTGTCGACGTTGTATTAATACATTTTGCAGCAACCCATTAGGTCTTAAAAAACTTGTTGGTCGTGTTGCTCCATTAGACAATCTGTAATTTTATTTATATTATTTTGTAAGATATTATATTATCAATTTATAATTGTAAAATATACAGGATATTCTAGAGTTATTGTCACTTTTAACATTCATGAATTCAATTTGGAGTTACCAATTTCTTAATGATAGAATAACTGAGTGTCACAAATAATTGTAGCTTAAAATATTGACAATAATATTCCACTTTTGTGTCTAATCTCTTTCACCTGTAATTAAAATATATAACAATAGAGATCGAGAATATCCTACATATATGCGCAAATATTAACTCTTTCAACTTTAATCAACTAAAATATATTATATGAGATATATTATATCAATTTTAATATAATTATGTGTTTTACCTTACATGTCTCATTAGAAACATTTTAATAGCCATTGTTGCTGAAGATATATTCTCGTCACGCATAAAATATTTTTGCGCTATCCCATGGACAGATCGCATTTGAGTTAATACAGTTTTAGGAGTAATAAAATGCTTGAAAATTAGACTCAACATTTTGGAATAGTTTTCGTCCTGCGTCACCACAAGAAATAATTTTTAGTAACTTCTTGTAATTAAATGTTAATAGGCTTTTAACATTATTTCCTATAAATAAAAACTTTTCTTATTCTTCTTTATTTACAGACATTTACATTACATTTATGTCAATCTTACTTAATTTTGTCTTTCTTTTTTTATGAAATTTATTCGTTACCTAAGATATACACATATATATTAGGCTAATTTTACCTGAAAAATACACGAGATTTATATCATATTTTTACGAAGTTTTTCCTGCCTGCGAACACATGCAATTCCTGTATAATTCGTGAATTTTATTTATAAATATTCAATTCAACGATAAAATCCTAACATTTTTTACGCTAGGTTAGGAAGCACATAAGAAAAGGTAAACACGAGGCCAAGTTGGAGCTACACTACATCGTACTCTTTCTGCACTTAAAATGGGCGCGTTCAGCAGACACAACTGTTGCACAACTGTTGAGTTCGTCTTATTAACACTATGCGTTGATTGGTTGGTTCTAAAAGTAACAGCCAATCACGTTCGACTGCTAGTAAGCGGCTTGTGGACTGCTGAACGCGATATACGTTCGAAAGAAAAAGAAAAAGGATAGGTCTGTTCTTTTTAGCTGAAAAAAAGGAAAGATAAACCGTGCAAGAAGTTCAGCTAAAAAAACAGGCCTGATAAAAAAAACAAAGAAAATAGGACGAATATGACAGTGCTCTTCTAAAACAGGATTGGTTGTCAATAGTCGGTCGCTATCGGATTGGTTCTTATCCCATCTCGTCCCGGCATCATCATTTCACTAGATCCGCCATCGTCAGGCGGATTCGGCCAATCGGCTACAGGCCCCCCGTGCCATTGGGCGCGTTCAGCAGACCAAGCCGCTCAGTAGCAGTCGAACGTGATTGGTTCTTACTTCTAGAACCAGCCAAACAACGCAGAGTGTTGATAAGACGAACTCAACAGTTGTGTCTGCTGAACGGCCCGCGGCCATTGTATCCTCCCGCCGCTAGCGCCGCAAGCCGCCGGGTAGGCGCGCCGGAACAAACGTCACGTCGCTGCTCTCAAATCGAGCTACGCGAACCGGGTCCGCGGACTCCGGGCCGTCGGCCCCTCGCCACCTCGTCGCCGCGCGCAGCTCTCTCTTCCGGCGAATCCGGCGATCAGACGAAGAGGTCCCCGCTACTGACTCGTCGAGCTCACGGTCAACTATTTACTCGCCCGGAATATATTTTCGCCATGGCTGTCGGTGACCTGAAGACCGATAAAGGCGTCGAGGATCTCAACAGCTATCTCGCCGACCGCAGTTATGTCGAGGGGTGAGCCTACTTCTAGCGCGTTCTCGGCGCGACTCTAACGTCTCTCCGGTACACGTGCTCCGCTTGTCGGCATCTTGCCTTCCCTATTTCTCAGTTTCGCCTCGTGCACACATCACGGCGCACTCCCGCCGTCCCGTTCTCCCACGAGGAGCGACCGTCCCGTGTCCCGTCACGAGCACCTGCGCAGCATCTTTCCCGGCCCGCCCGGGCGAGATAAAACTCATAAAACACGACGTTTCCAGTGTCGCGTATGGACATGTGTCACACGGACAGCACATACGCATACGCACACGCATACATCTTGCATTTATTTTTACGTCTCTTCTTTCATCTTCTTCCTACCTATCCTTTTTGGTAAACCTTCCGTAGAGTTGACTCTTTGCAAGTTCCTGGACGAATTTGCCTACGTACGGTTTCGTATGTGATTTGTTATCTATACTTACATATACGTCCCTATCTGAATATACGCATAAGAATAAGAATCTCAATGACTTCTGGCATGCGTAGTTCAAAATACCCTTTATGTTTGTCACTCTAATATCATTCTTTTTTTTATATTTTGTAAATAACATATACTGCAAGATAAACAATATTACTCATGGAAAAGATGATTTTTTTTTAGATATTAATGGAGGTTTTTTTATATAAAAGAAATTGCGTTTACTTTTTGAAAATTTCATGTATTGTTTATACAATATTATTAATTTTTAATTTGTTCATAGTAAGAATGGTAATGAAATTGAAAAATAACTCATTAATAACACTAAAGTGGTATTAAAGTTTCCGATCGAAACACTACTCATTGGAATTGTAATGTAAGTTCTTTTTAGTAATACGCAATGTGTGATAAGGATTGACTTTGATATACAAAATAACGTATCATATAGAAGAATTTACGCTCGATAGGTGGCAACCAACTCAGGCCGATGTTGCAGTACTCGAAGCACTGGGGAAGGCACCGACATCTTCAAATCCTCATGTACTCCGTTGGTACAACCACATAAAATCCTACGACTTTAAGTCACTTCCCGGAGAAAAGAAAGCACCTGCCATCTTTAGCACCGCCGGTGCCCCGGCTTCGTCTACGGGAAAGGCAAACGACGACGAGGACGACCTAGATCTATTTGGTTCGGATGAAGACGAGGATGCGGAAGCTGCGAAAATCAGGGAGGAAAGGTTAAAGGCGTATGCGGAGAAAAAATCAAAGAAACCCGCAGTCATTGCCAAGTCGAGTATTGTGCTGGACGTGAAGAGCTGGGGAGATGAAACCGATATGAAGTTAATGGAAAACGCAGTGAGATCGATTGAGATGGACGGTCTTGTTTGGGGTGCATGTAAGTACTTTCGTATACTTTCGTAAGTCGTTGTCGCTCTTTCGACAGATATACGTAGCAGATCGACGGAAGCGAATTATACAACTGAATTATATATTTTTTTCCAGCAAAACTTGTCCCAGTGGGCTATGGCATAAACAAGTTACAAATAATGTGCGTGATAGAAGACGAGAAAGTATCGGTGGATTTTCTGATTGAACAGATTCAAGAATTCGAGGAATTCGTTCAATCCGTAGACATTGCTTCGTTCAACAAGATCTAAGAAACAAAAACAGCTCATTACTTTTAATATTGGATTAATAAATATTAATTGTTTGTATATACGCAATTTGTTACTCTCTTAATATACCCGAAGGATTCCTTGTGCAGTCTTCAAGAGTAATACAATTCTATTAAAGCTTCATTGCATGTATTCATTTTAATACCTTACATGTATACATTATTAGATAAATTTTAATATTGTCGAATATATATATATGCAGCACGTACGCACAAATAATCATTCGCATTTATACGTTTTTATGCACGTTCTATTCCATCTCATTAGTTTTTTTACCGAATATCCATAAATATATTATCTATGTCAAAATAAATAGAATGAAATATGTAACTGAAAAGATTATATATTAACGTAAAAGTTTCAATATTGCAATTATTGCTATAAAAGAATATAACGATTTTATAATAAAAAATATTGTATATAACATGAAATACGTCAATACTATCATATAACGGTTACCTGCTTCAATTTAAAAATTATTAATTTTTTGCCATGCGATTTTTATAATTATATAGGTTTAAAAAATTATAAGTAATTCAAACTAGTATCGGCTTCAGCAGGAAAGAAACTGCAATAAGAAAACAAATTACAGATATCGTCAGCGGCGGACAAGAGTTGTACGGACATTATATCATGTTATTCATGTTATATCGCTTATACGATTACGCAACGGGAATTTCATACATCTTGTAGACGTAATAAATAATAAGCAAACACGTTGATCAATCAACCGTTATCGGGCATATATATAGAAAAATGGAATTCCCTCTTTCGTATTGGTTCTTAATATGCATCAAAATTTCTTATTTCAAAATTTAAATGAATAATTTGGGCTAATAATAGTAAATTGTATGCCGATGGCGCAACGTACCAGCGACACGCGTTCTTCACGCGCGCTTGCCGTCCCTTATAAACTTGTTCTCAAGGAAAAGTATCAATTGTAAGATCATCGAGGAGAGGTGCGTCCCTAGGGCATTGACATTGAACTTGGGATCCGGTTGTCGTAGTCTCTTCACGATTCTGTGTTGCGAGTTTCCAAGTAACGACGATCTGCCATTTATCAGGACGGGCGTTAGGGATCGCGAAAAGATGCAGGATTAAAATTCAAGATTTGTTCTCTTCTACTGTAAAACAATGCAAGATCAGATTTTAGTATTCTTTTCTTTTATCTTCTTGTTTTTGTCGCAGATTTTTATATGTATATTGACATGCTAACGTCGATACTTTTACTGCAAGGCGCGTTAAAACTTCATGAAAGAACGCGGGACTTGCTTTTTTCCGTTTTTAATATCTCTCGAGTTTTGCAAGTTTTGAATAAAAGAATTCGAAAGATGCAGTATAAGAATAACTATGTGAGATCCTAAACGTATATTAAGTTACATTCTTTTAATATAAAATAATTATAGCATAAAATATATACAGAATTGATAAATATTAATATAATATAAGAATAAATATTCTTCACTAATTGCAATCAAGATATCATAAATTAATTAATATCTTTGTAATGATAACTATTCATATGATTCATATGATTCTTGCGATGGCCCTCGCGGGTGTTGACGCAATGTGATTTCTGCCCAGTGCTCCGAATGTCAACGTGAAGAAATTCAAGCAATGTCTTATTTTAATAATTTAGCAAATTCTATGTAATAAGTAATAAAAAATAGAAGAAAAATTTGTCTCTTCTTTCAGCTTATCGATATAAAAATTATGTATATATAGACATTTGCGGAATATCTTCTAATTTTGAAGAACTGTTTAATTTAATTTTTAAAGACTATTGATACGCTTAGAAGATTCTTTTCCAAAGTACATATTCGCTGTTGTTAAAAAAATTTACTTGATGAAGAACGGAATGATTCCTAACTTAATATCAAACAACACAGAACATCATCTGACTGCTAATTTTCGGCTATTTCCAATCCCGTTTGGAAAACGTGTTTGGAATTTCGTTTCTCTTTTTCTTCTGGCGCAAATAACGATGAGATTCTTGTCCTTCGGTCGCGAACGGTTCTTCCTTTCCCCGCTCTTCCTGTGTCTTCGTATCCTCATCGTTTGTCCTCGCCTTCGTCACGCGTTGTTATCGCCGTATATATAAGAAAGCGATCGTCGAGAAGTGTTCGAAAGCGTGGATCACCTCGTACCAGTCGACCAGTACAGTGCGCAGTAGACGTTGCTTCCTACGGATCAGCAGCATCACATCTTCGAGATGTTTGCGAGAGTCTCGTGTGTTACTGTGACAATAATCACGCTATTTTGCGTTTATACTTCCGGTGAGCTATCGATGTATTTTTTTTTATTTTCTAATAGAAGAGCGATTTATAATACGAATTACAACGCGAATTTTCTCTAAATGCATGAGAATTCTGACTTAAGCACGTTATAATATTACGTAGCAATTAATACATGGCTAGAATTTTCAAGAAAATTTACATGTTATGAATGTGAAAATATTCGTTTAAAAATTGGAGAAATATAACAATCTGAAAAAATTTTGATTCAAGAATTCATTAAAAACTGAGGTATATTACAAATAATATATTTTGGCCCCAAAATACTCTCTATGAATGTGTGAATATAAAATATTATTTGAAATCTAATTTTAGAACAGAATTTAGTAGATATTTTGTTTGATTCAGAAAGTTTCAGCTACAAATTTTGAAATACAAGCTTGAAGACACTTAATAATATAACAAAATATGTCTTGATTTCAAACATTAAAATTTTTAATACAAACTAACTGCTCGTTTCCCACATTTTCCGTTTATATATGTATATTTGTTTATATAATCCGTTTTAAATATTTAACCAATATTTTATTAAACTTACATTTTGCACAAAGTGAAATTCTGCATTAATCTTCGATCAATTTGAGAAACAATAGATCCGATCAGATCCGGATACTGTTAGTTCCAGGAATTTTTATCAGTCGCGTCATTAATAGCAGTCTTTATATCTCACAGAATTCTTTAAAACATATTTTTGTGTCCATGACCACGTCCCTGACTGTTATGCAATACGTCGGCTAATCTCAAAAGAGTTCTCTCTTATTCCATCTCTATAACCTTTCCCCTATTATTTTATTGTGTTAATATTAGAAACGTCATTTAAAACCTTTAAAAGAAAAAATAATATCTAATATATATGTACACATGTTAGGAATGAATAATAATATTTAACTCTCTCTCTCTCTCTCTCTTTAAATCTTTAATTACATTGTGTATATATGTTTTCTAGTGATTATTAGAGACTATGTAAGACAAAAGTGTTACGTGATTATAATCATATATTACATTGTCAAAAGTCTGCTATAATCTGTTGGCTTTATATGATATTATATTTGTCACAAAAATCAAATGATATATGTTTACCGTGTGAATTGATGTAACTTATTCACCGTAAAAGATACCATAAGTAAATATAACTTTGTGCTCGGTTTATAATGCATATTATGATTAGTATTCTTCAACTATGTTTTAATGATACATCGTTGATGACGATTACAGAAATAGCAATTATTAGACGAGATTTAATTGGTAAAGTGACGATGCAATATATAGTTGCGGTCTGCTTGCGACGATCCCAATTAAGATAACGAAATCAAAATATAGAAAACATGTTTGATTACTCTAATGCAAATATATCATTTGTGTCTGTGTCTCGTTTTCCCGTATAATTTCCTTGTTTTATTTCCTCGTTTTATTTTCTTGCGTTATTGCAATATACGTGTATACAGCCTCGCGATAATAAACTAGTCAGTTAATTATAACTGCCTACTATCATCATGATGCAAAGTTTCGACCGAAAAGAAATATTAATTAAAATTATAGAGCAATATTCACATCATATTAAATGTTAATAGAATGGAATCAATATATGTATATTATATGTTAAAAGTTATTTATATGTGTTTTTTAAAAGCAATTTGGACATACTTATTATCAACTAAAAATGATAATACTCATCTGTATAGATCCACCAAATAAAATTTAATTCAAAGCTAATATAAGTTTAAAATGCGAATATACGTGTGACGGAACGATTATCTTTTTTCTCCTCTCTTTTTTTGGGGGGGCATTTCTAACAGTCTTATATTTGATTTTTTATGCATACAAAAGACTCCTTAGTTGGTATTTCGAAACTGGTTTCAATCTTTACTAAGGTCTTTTTCATTCCACAGTCCTGAGTGTGAATTGAGTGAAAGAAAAAATGAACGCATACCTACGCTTTATGAGCTCATATTGGCCTTGAATCAAATTGTACAGTTTTACTGATTATCGATTATAAAGATAAAAAATCTAACGGTATTGATACACAGCATACAGCTATACAGCATCTGTGATTAGCGATCAAAAGATACAAGTAGATCAAAGATACAGAAAGGTCTTGACTTCATTAAATGAACCGCTTCAGGCCGCACCCAACTAGTGGGAGTTATAAGAATGATCCGTTTATAATCTGACTTAAAAAATGCGGATCATTAAAACTGATTGGGTGGATCAAGCTTTGCAACTCATAATCGTAAATCTATAATTCAAACAGAATGTGCATTTGCACTTTGATTGAAGTTTGATCGTAATACACAAAAAGAAAAGAATAAATGTGAAATCAACACTAATAATATATTACGGCATATATTCAAATACGGAGGGTGCTATATACTTGCAAGTGAAACAATGTAATTCATTCAACGATACCGAAAAGAGTTTTATGTTTTACACGCTTGATTTTTTGAGTATAATCCACTCGCTCTGACTTTAGATAGCCCCCAGCTAGCAGGCGTAGCTGGGGGATTATCTACTAGCAGTGACTTCATGAACTTTTTTAACCTTTTAAAGACGTTTTAATGACGGTTCAATAACGTAGCCATGTAGCAGGATGACGTCTAAAGACGTTTTAATGGTGTATTATTGACGTTAGCGTTCGAGACGTCATTAAGACGTCAGAGGATTGTGAAAATCAAAATTATAAAAAATTATTTTGTTTAAAACAAGATAATAAGATGTTACAAGATATATTATAAAATATACATGCATTTTGTATTTATTTAATTATCACAATACTCTTATTTTATCACAATTGTTAATTACTTGACAAAAATTCAACTGTACATCATATTTTGATATAAATATGCTACCTAGGCCGTTATAGAAATAATAAAGGAGAGATAATAAAAGAACAGGAATTGAACGAAAGAAAGGTTTTCACTATAACAGTCGTCGTGGCCATCTCTGAATGAGTTGTAATTTAAATTCATGAGCTGATTTAAGTTATATTTTTAACCGTGACGCTATACAAAATAACCGCGCCCGTGCAGGTACAAATACATAAGCTGTGTATAATGTTGCGAGATATATGTATCAAGCGATATCACACACCGAAAATTCCGGTTTTGTATATTGTAGAGATGTGCCAAGCAACTTTTATGTTCTTATTATAATTTTATCGAAAGTGCATCGTCCTAACCCGCGTTTTAAGTGCTGATACTTTTGTTTCTCAAAGATTCTTAACGTAAATATTTTATTTCAACAAATCTCAAAAAGATACAGAAATTCAATTACGATATATTGTCATATTCATTATTATTGTTATTATTAATTAAGTTCAATTTGAGTAACATTGAAAATCTATATTCTATAGAGATTTGAGAATATAAAATAGAATTGTAACAAACTTTGCATGGCTTCGAAAGTCTAACATAAAGAGAGGAATTTTTGTATCAAAATTATTTTGTCAAATTTATAAATATTATTATTTTGTTCAAAGCGACTTATATTCCTTTTGTTTAATAAAAATAGAAAGTTAGAGTTACTAATTAGATGATACTTTTCTGTTTCATCCGCAGTGTACTCTATTTCTGCTCGATTATTTTGCGTATGATAAGATATTAAAAAAACGTCATTCATTTCTAGTTTTTACGCATTAATTTGCATCTCTGTTTTTTGTTTCAGCTCAAGTTATATCGCAGGTCTGTTTAGGCTGTATATGCGAAGTTAGCACAGGATGTAACACCACTCGCGGGTGTTCTGGATCCGTATGTGGACCCTTCGCCATAACATGGGGCTACTGGTCTGACGCCGGTAAACCAACTCTGAACAACGAGCCAACCAGTGACGATGGTCAGTTACTTTCTTATAAGATATATAAGATACTTTATACATTTAAATAATGAAAATAATTTCCATTTTTTTGTCAACCAACGTTAATATAATCATTGTATAAATTGTATGTCTATATTATTTATTTTAATGACTAAATAATAAATATAAATGTTATAACCTGATTGATAAATATAATAATTCTATAATAATTGCTTCTCTTTTTTTTTTATTATAGCTTATGCCAGATGCGTCAATGATCCCTACTGTGCCGCTGGTGCAGTACAAAACTATATGGCCAAATTCGGTCACGTAAGTAATTCACTCAATTTTCATATGTAGATTTTGGCTTATACTACACTTCTTCATCTTAACAACTAATGTGCATTAATTAAATAGGACTGCACCGGAAATGGAGTGGTCGACTGCGAAGATTATTTGCGTATTCATCGACTTGGCGCAAACGCCTGCAACGGCGCCCTAAACAGCAAATATGAGAATAAATTCAAGTTGTGTTTACAAACCTTCCAAAATCAATAATATGTGTATGTTATACTACCGCCTAATAACAATCCCTTAATTATCGTAATATACATGTCCGATGAAAACCCATCTTGTATCTTTATCAAATATTTGTGATACAGTCATTCATTAATTCATTATTATTATTAGCAGCGAAACTAGTTCCCGCCTGGCGCCTCTAGTTTTGTCCATTAAATTTTATCTAGTATAAGTTTATCTCTTAGGATTTGATATGCAACAAATATATCAATCGAAAACGTATATGTGCTCGTGGTATTCCACATACTTTGATATGTCGCATTGTATTAATTTTAACTTACTTAAATATTCATGCTGTATGATTGTGTGTTTACTGTTTGACATAATAATCAGTCTTACTTATGCTAATATAGCTAACGCAAGAACATTTATAATAAAAGCTTTAAAAATTTAAGATGTGGAATTTTTACTAACACATCACAATTTCCTGAAATTCTCCTTATATTATATTTTATAAAATGTTCGAGTTTTCACATTTTGCGTAATTAATAAGAAAATTTTAGGAAAAATAGTGGTTCTTGAAATTTCAGTTAATGCTTATATAACTTCCTAACTGATTACACTTTTTTTATACTTATTGTTATAGTTGATTTTTGAGAATTTATATTTTCGTAATTTGAAAATTATTTGATTGGTAAAAATGCGAATAATTTTACGACGTATAATTATCGACAACGCTAAGTAATAATTATGGACATTAAGAAATTTTTCTATTTGTTAGTATTTAGCAAATCACAAAAAACTATTCTCAAAAAAAAAAAAAAATCAAGTAGAAGAAAAGTAATAAGGTAACAATAATTAAATTACATTAATTTTAAAAATTATACATATATGCAACTTTTTGTTAAAACATTTATAAAGTCATGTGTCGAATTTTATAGCATATTATTTCATAACATATTATTTATAAATTATTTATAAATTAATATCATATAAGATTAGATTAATTTTAATATCAATTCTTTCAATCCTAAGTTACAATTATAAAATTTGTAATGCAATTTTAAATATTACATTATATAAAATCTATAAAATATAGCTACGCAGATCGGTCGGTTTCACTGTACGTTGATAGCGCATGCCCTTGACACAAGATACTACCGTTTCTCATGGTCAAATGTATAAAATCAATACGATTGAAGGTGTACGTCGATATTCGAACATTTTCATATTTTCATAATAATATTAAAAATACTTGAGGTTCTCTCATAATTGGAGTCCACGTATTATTACGTGCTTATGTATCAATTTTTGTTATACCCTTATTGCATTTTAACTTATTATCGTGATTATCGGTTTTTCTACTAATGTTATAATCAAATTATATAAATACGTGGAATATTAAATCTTTTGCGGAGGGCTTCTTACATTAGTGCAAATCGCTATCGCTAAGGCAACGCTGATAGATCGTAATTACTCATGTTTAGTGATCTTTACGTAAGGATTTGGCTGACAAAAACTTTAGCGTCCAATAATAATTCATTATTATTGTTTTTTTTGTCTTGCTCAATGAGACAAAGAAGAAGCCTTTTATTCGCGAGCAAAAACTTGAACAGGCTTTTATTAAATCAGGCACCAAAATCTTATTTCTCACTTATCACATGATCACATATTTATAACGATAATCTTATAATCTTATATATTTTGCATAATAAAATTTAATTTTTGCATCTATCTGTTTTTATTTTATTCTAGTTATTGAAAGTTTAATAAAAATCAGACTGCCATATGAAATGCAACGAATCGAATGTTACAACATAAATATCATATTTTCAAATCGTATTGCATATTTTGCATTCTACGTAGAAGGTGCTAAACAAAACATTATGTGATTCGTGTGATATTTGTTATGAAACGCACATTCTGTGTAATATAATATATTAATTTTATGATTTACTGAAAAAGAGCTCTTTTGCTTCGCCGGATACTTTAAGAATGTATTTACTTTATTGTTTGAATATTACGCCCACGACTTCGTTAACCCGAACGGGCGCCTCATTATTTCTTTGGATATTAAACGGTCATTTAAGGCTACTTTTACACCCCAAAAGTTACTGTGATTACATATTGCATTAATTACATATTACATATTTTGGATTGTTGTATAATTTATCAGTACTTGAAAACAATATGTATATAGATTTACTCCACATTTTCTGAAAAAAGTAAGAAAAAACCAAAGAAATATTTAAAAAATAAAAAAAGCACATTAATTACTGTAAGGTAAAGCTTTATTTTTTTGCCACGGGCATGCTTAAGTAGTCCCTGATGTCCGTTCTTGGGTTAACAACAAACTGCGTTATTTCATCGAGGCTTGTATGAAATGACTCGGTCGGAATCATGAATCAATCTCGGACTCGTCAACTACGAAGTCGACCACGCTCACGCACGTACAGCTATGCGCTATCTCAAATAAATTGCTTTCAAATTCTTTTGATTCTAAACGATTATACATATAAAGATGTCAGAATGTTATCTGATGCACCGTTTTTTGAGAGCAAAGAGATATCACAAAAATGATATTTAAAAAATTTCTCAAACAGGACATCTTTAAGATATTTGAAGTTTGTCGATATAGAGAGTTCTTATTTATCATGTCTAAATAAGAACCGATATATGTATGTACGTCAACATATAAATTTCTCATTTATGATATCCAAAAGATAACATCGTAAAACATTTTTTAAATAAAAGTTTTACATTAAAAACTATATGAAATAATCAAAATAATCTTGTAACTTTTATTAACTTTTATCAACTTTAATATTACTAAAATTTAATAATATATTTATCCAAATTATTAGCATATACCCAGACAGAGCACTAAAAAAAAATAATAAAAAATTGAAAAAAATTGGAAGAACCAATAATATATACCTTAACAGAAATAGCAGAAAGCCTAAGGTCACACGACTGCTACGTCGTGGACCGACCTGGCATGAAAGCCGACCTGGCATGAAGCCACCAAATTTAATTTATTTTCGAGATTTTCGAGACCGCTCAAGCGGCCAGGTGAGACTCGAACCCGCTACCTCGCGGTTGTAAGTCTAGCGCTTTCCCACTAGACCACACTACCACCCATTAGCAGAGATGCTAATGGTGCTATTTTGCCCGCTGACTGCGCGCCTGGTGGGGACACGCACACAGCTGATGGAGCCGTTGCGGCGGTTCGGCCCTCGGCCAGCTTCGAGCGGGTAGAAGAGCGCAGACATACACTCGGATGTCAGGCGCGTCGGCTGACTTGGCTCGTCTATTATGTCTCGCGTATCCCTTCTGATGTTGATTTATGAATAAAATATATATTATGACATTGCAGATGACAATAAAATACCCCTTCCTACACTAATAGGCGCGAGACACTATCGTGTGTCTCTTAATTATTTAAAAGTAATGAAACTAATAACAAAGAATGTTAGTAAAATTTATTAATTACATAAATGATGTCTAATAAAATTATATTATCTTTATTCTGAAAATAAACTATATAAATTAAGTAAAGAAATAAAAAACAGAAAAAACGTAAATAATAGAAATCCATTCTTGGCCAATATGTACGCTTTCTTCTAAAAAAATCTTGTTATTAATTTAGAAAATAAATTATTGTTAACACAAAAAAAGTGAAATAAAACATTAAATTATATATTGTTTGTTTTTGAAATATTATTTTGATAGTATAATTACTTTGCTAATATAGTAAATACATGTAATATAAAATTAAAAAAAGGATTAAATTATTTGTGGAACAATATGATAAATTTTATTGTACTGTTCTCAAATAAATGCATGGACAACGTACATATTGTTGCTCAATGGAAACCGCGAAAAGGTGGTGGTCTCTTCCGTCAAGAGAAAATGTAAAAATTGTTTTCTTTAATATTAAAGAAAACAATTGTTTACATTTCCTTCGAATGCAGCGCGCGCGCGCGCGTGCGCAAAATTACCGTGCTGACGAAAACCACCACCGCGTCGCAATTAAGGCCCCGAGATCTTGAAACTTCGTCGAGAAAAGAAAACGCTAAAAGCCAGTAAGTAAGTCTTTCAAATTTTCCCCCGCCTTTCTATCTTTTACAAAAAGTCTATCACAGTCTAAGCAAAGAATGTGTTTATTTTATAAAAAAAAAGTTTATATGCAAATAACCAAGTAGAAAATGTCGACTCAAGTAAGCAAAATGTTATGTTACGTTTGTCTCTGGACTCCCCTACCTTCCGCAAAATCGTTATTAACACATTTTCCCCGCTAAAAATTTTTTTATTTTTATAAAAAATTAAACACAATTTTATCATTAATTTATTATATAGGTATTATACTGCATATAAGATAAATCGGGAGATGTCATAGTTATGAATTATTAAAGAAATACGAACAAACCAGTAGCCATAACTTTTTCGGAATTTTTGCAAAATGATATTTAAGCTTTCACGTATAGCAGTGCTGAAAACAGCCACTCTAAAAGTTATTGTTAAAATGCTGTAATTTGATTATATTATGTTTATCTCTGCAAAACTGGCATCTTATCCCAATGCCTGGGTAAGATGCCTGTAATGATGAGAGAAAGATGTAAATACTGTGAGAATGAAATTTTGAGAAAGCATTCAATAAATAAAATGTAATACATGTACAAAAACATAGATTTATTTTTAACAGTAAACTTTAACTATTAACAATGGGTAAACATAAAAGTTGCTTTTTATATGAATACATTATTTCAATGCCAGAATAGCACGTCTTAGATTTTTCAAATAATTGCAGATAAAACCATTTTTATGCGAGCTCATAGCTTTTTTTTATCAAGACTTTTAACTTTCTAGAGCTCGGAAGATCACTTGAATCATCAGTTCTTTTTGACATAGTCACAACTGAACTTTATTTATTGCAATATTAATTACAATAAAACAATTTAAATAATATAAGCTCTCTGTAAAGAACAAGAATATTATGAATAGTTTTTTAAACAACTCTACTTGAAGGTACGGAAAAAAATTGATTCGTACTGGATCAAGTTTTTTTTCTCATCTCTAATATAGTAATTTTTGATATTCCTAATGATCATACAATACAAAACAAGAATGAAGATCCCGTGGAAGCCAAAAAAACGCCCTTATTAACCTTCTTTCTTTTCTTCAACATCGTATATTCACACTCAACTCTGGTAATACGCTTAACAATAAATATATCTTAAAACTCGTTAAAAAGAATTTGTGGTTCAGTCGCATTATATATGCGCTATTCTGCTGCTTATAAATAATTTCTCGAGATTTCTGTGAAATAAAAATTATTTGCGGTTCTGTCGCATACACGCGTTATTCCGTTGCTTATAAATAATTTCACGCGTTTCTATTTCGAAATTTTCCAACCATATTATACATTTCTGCTTAACATTGAGAATATAATTG